AGGAATTTCGCACCTTTGCTACTTCCCATCGATATTCGAGCTGTCTAGGGAGCTATCTGATCCTACAAGAGTTGGCAGGGTTTGGAATGGTGGCTCGACTCAGCTTTACAAGTCTTAGCAGGTTTCAGCAGAGTGAGACATGTGAACTGGAACTAGATAAGCAGCGGAGTTACAAAATGCCCCCACCCAGCGCAGTTTGCCGACGGGGGGCATTTTGCACTTTCGTTGCTTCACTAGTTCCGGTTTACAAGTCTCACTCTGGTGAAACCTGTGAACTCTTGTGAAGCTGGAGCAAGCCATCATGGTAAAACCTGTCAACTCGAGAAGAGGCTGTCTAGATGGGTCGACACGTCGATGGGAAGTCGTTAAAGTGCAAAATGCCCCCCGTCGCCAAACAGCGCCGCCTACACCCTTCCCTCGCCGCCGAGCTGCCCCGAAAAATGACCTGTACTGAGCTGTCAAGTGAATGAGCTACCTTTCTATAAACACCTGTCTCAATCGGTAACAAAAAACCCACTAGGTAGCCTAGAGATAACCTTGACTCAGAGATTCTCTGCAGAAAAATTTAGGGAGCCATTATCACATTATCACTCCTTCATTTGTTGCCAGCCTCCAAAATAAATACGCTAGCAGCTCTGTTCGTAACGATACTGAAGAACCGCCAAGCTATCAGTTTTGATCTGAAGAGAATTTATTATTTTCAGATTTTGGGGCTATCTAAACGAAGACATTGGCTATAGCAACACGTAAAGTTGTAGTGGTCATCGGTCTCATTTGGAGTAATGAGGTAAGGCACAGCTCAGTTCACTTATTATTTCAGAAATCACAATTTAAACTGAAACCAAAAACTATGCACGTGTTATACAGTCCCCCCTTTGGTCAGTGGCGCGGCTAATCTACTATTCTGATAACCGATATAGAACGTCCTCCCCTCCCTCCCGTTCGACGAGACAAAGCTTGGGGAAATGTGGTTTTGTGGTGGGGTTACACTCCACGTCCCAGGAATGGGGAGGGGCCCGGCTGTGTACTTCATTTGAACATTTTTTTTCAAAATTTTTTTTCTGGTTAGATGTCCCCTATTTGGTACGATTGCGATCCATACCCTTTTGCGCAAAACAAAGACATGATTACAATTGTCCCAAAACTAAAATATTCCACCTGAAGCGCAGCAGCTACCCTTTCAATTGAAGTACTCAACCACGACCTACTCTATATTTTTAAGATGTGGAGGGTATGAAATAAGACCCTCTCTTGAGGAAAGGAGGGAGGGAGTCACAATGACACCGCCATTCCACCCATCCCTATGATGAGCTCTGTTTGGAGCTGTACTAGGGACGCCTATGATGACCCTCGTCTCCGCTGAAACATAATAATTTTATCAATTGCAGTTACTTCAAATGGGCATTCTCACGGTTGTGCTGTGGTATGGCGGTCATCTTGTCATCCAAGGAAAGGTAAGAAACGTCTTCTCTTCGACATGCTAAAGGTCCTATTGCTCCAATATCTAGTGGATCTGGAAAATAGGATCGACTAAGAATGGGTAAAAAGAGCTACCAGCAGCCTCAAACCTCTACCGTAACGTGGTAGTTGTGACAAACTACTAGAATTCCTTGTCTAAGTGATTGCGAGCAATTATTTTCAGATCGAATCAGGGCTTCCTCGTCTCGTTTCTTACTGTATCAATTCCAACTGGGAGAGAATCTCAGGGTAAGTGACCCTGTGTAGATTCCTGAAGAATAGGAGCCATCTCCTAGAGGATGTTTAGGAGCTTGGTGAGGTGTGGAATGGTCTCATGCAAGCTGTCGGTGCTTCACGAAAAGTCTTCGAGTTCATTGATCGAGAACCGAGAGTCAAGGTTTGTCCATGACTTGGTGCTTATTGTTCGTGGCACATTCCGCGATGAGCACAGAAATGGGAGGAGACGCACAAATATTCTGCCCCCACCATTAGTGGTGCGCATAAGATATTAGAAGGGCAGCTGCATCAACAGGAAAGGTTAGTGGCTGTGTGACTCCGCCCATCTGGTTATCGCGGACTTTGCCTTCAATGCGGTGTCCAGGGTGGTCATAGCGGGTTATGTGCAATCAGTAAGACAAAGACGCATCGCGTGCTACTAAACGCCCAGCTCACATCGCCCGCAGCTCAGTTTTTCGGCTGCTGCCGTTCAGACCTTAGATTGCATTGAAGGTGTGGGTAAACCACTCCCGGGGCAAAGACACGCGCACTCCTTCCATACCTTTTCACACTACAGTCCTACTAGGCCCCCTACCAGCTGGCTGTCTGGAGTCGGGCTCAAAATGGCCTACTTCAATATGAATTGTCCTCTCTGAAATCTCTTGTTGTTAAGAATCACGGCAAATACGCTCCAGAGAAAGCTTGTGGGACGAATTGAATTCAGAAATGTGAAGTTCAGCTATCCGATACGACCGGATCTTCCCATCATGGAGGTGAGACTTTAGGTTCTTTTTGACATATAATGGGCACTGCGAAGACGTGGAGATCGATGCCACATGAGAATTATAAGATCGAAGGAGTAGGAAATAATAACGTCCACTGATTATAAAAATAATTGAAAAGTTGCAATACTGTTTTCAGAGGTGCACACTAAACTAATCGTAGAGGGGGATCCAGGTCCACAATTGTGCTTCCGTCGCTACTAATCTCCTTTCAGAGATGGTACATGGGTAAGGAGCATCGAGGACGAAACACCAAATAAGGTCGCTGCTCCGCCGCACATGAAGCGCGTAATGCGTCTTTAAAGTATCAGGTACCAGAAAGCCTGTTGAGTAGTCTACCGGGCGATTTTCCCCCAAAATTCATTCAAATGCCTGTGTGAGCAAACTAATGCAGTTTGACAGTCGGGAAGCATGGTGCTGGCGAAACAGCTCGAGCCTTTTATACCGACAGGTTCGACAGGTCGATGACAAACCTGGCGTGCTTGGACTAAATGCGAACGTGTTTCTCATCCGGATCTTTCAGACATTCCTGTTCCGCAATGTTACGACCTAGTGCTGACCTTTTCGCCGACTCGCACACCGCGTAGGGTTCATAAATGCGCAGACATGGGTAAATCCAAAGTGCCTGTGGGAACTGTATCCCTACACTTTATTTCAAGATAGTACTATCCAAATAAGTCAAACAAAAGTTCCAATAAAGGATCTCACGTTCACCGTAGAACCAGGCCAGGTAGTCGCATTGGTTGGCCCGTCTGGTGGCGGAAAATCGAGTTGTATCGCAATGTTGGAGCATTTCTACGAACCTAATGGAGGAGAGGTAAGTGATCCGTGTTGCACAGCGATTCCTTAGTTCTGCTAGGTCAGGGCAACTTTTCACAGCCGACGTTCAATACTTCGCTGATCGCTGATCGGCTGGTATCGTGCGATCGAATGCGGGCGAAGTATCGGAGCGTTCGGACACAAGGCGGAGCGGTGACGCGGTGCAGTCCTTCACTAGTCGACATCTTTTCAGGTCTATCTGGATGGCATTCCTATTCGCGAGTATGACCACAAGTACCTACACACAAAAGTCAGCGCATAGTCATTTCTTCAATGAGCAGATGACATCTGCCCTTTACAGGTAGCCCTTGTCGGTCAGGAACCCGTGCTATACGCCAGATCCGTAACGGAGAATATTGGGTACGGCTTGGATTCCTACAGTAATGACGACGTGCAAACGGTAGGTTACCTATATGTCATTTAGCATTATACCTTCATGACAAAGGGGTAGCAGGGGCTCTCCGTGAGGACTCATCGGCGCGCGTATGCGTAGCGTGTGAATCACTGTCACGAATGGTGTTTCTGTTTTGTCTAAAATGAGGTCTATCCCCGGGACAAGTGAAGGGGACCGCATTTTGCAATCTCTGACCATTTTTGCATTTTTCATCATTTTTCAGTCAGCAAAACTAGCCAATGCTCATAGCTTCATCATGGATACTAGCGATGGCTACAACACGAATGTTGGTGAAAAAGGAAGTCAAATGTCAGGTGAGAAAGTAGAGTTTGCTAAAAGCGTGCCTATGACATAGGCCTGCCAAAAGCTGTACAAGTGTTGTACAGTACCCTCTCCAATTTTGTGACCTGCAGTATACTCCATATCTGAGATGTGGTGGGCGTGGCCACTTACTTCACTTGAACGTGGCGGTGGCTGCGCTTTTGTTGGGATGTTTTCATTTTGGGGCGATGGTGAGAAAATTTTGTTCAACATGAGACTGTTGTCTCAAATTAACATTTCATAAATAATCCGTCCTACGCCAAATTCGCAGTGTACGCAGCCACGCCTATTGCATCTCAGAGATGTGTAGAAGGTCATGTGTGCGTTGAACGGTTCCCCTCCCTTGAAGGCAAGTTCCACATTTCGCGCTCCTGCGCCCCTTACTACCAACATGGTAAAGAGGGTCTACGAACAACTAGAACTCAATTCCTTAATGGCGCCAACTTTCTGTTTTTCTCTGCGCTCTCTTGCCTGAATGGCGTTTGTGACCACTCTGACCTTTCACATTCCAACTTTTCACGCATACTAAG